ATTATAGCATCAGAACTCTAAGCACCTGAGAGAGAGTGGGCACCTCCCAGAACATTGTTTTGTGCCACTCCCAACAGAAATACTCCAGGTGGACACCTTCAGCAATCAGGAGCTCCTCAGTTGCTCATAACAATTCCCTCCCACCTTGGAGTTTACAAAGACTTATGGGTAGAAAAGCCACACTAAGTGATTTACTACACCGCAGAGAGTCCACTGAATTCTAAGCAAAACAGATTACATGTGTGTGTGTTTATTTACATATGTAGATATATAAGCACACACACATAATTAAGACATGCCTTAACTGAAATTTCAGAACATCAGGGATAAAGAGAAAATATAAAAATTAATAAGAGGGGGAAAAAAGCTTATGTACAGTTTGTTTTTTGGACAATATGCTAAAAATTATTGTTTTAGAATTTTTGTTTTATAGGTGTTATTTTATCCTTCCCTTTGTTTTGAATGTTTTGTATATTATAATTGTATTTATATTATAATGATTGATGTTGTTGGATGCCCTCGAGCAGATCCAACTCATAGTGACCCCATGTGACAGAGTACATAGGGTTTCTTTGGCTGTAATCTTTATGGGAGCAGATCTCCAGGTCTTTTTCCCTTGGAGCCACAGGGTGGATTCAAACCTCCAACTTTTCTTTGGTTAGCAGCCAAGTGGTTAACTGTTGCATTACCAGGGCTCCTTTATAATTATTACAGAGGTAGTAAATTGATTTTAGTAAGTGCCAGATGAATGTGAAATAAGTCCAGGAAAGCAAAGCAGAGATATGGAATTTATCCTATTCTTCTTTTTTTTTGTATTTTAACAGAAATTTATTTTCTCGAGTTTCGAATGCCATAAGTCAGTTGAAGGCACAGGCTCTAGGGAAGGCTTTCTTTCTATGTTGACTCTCAGGGGGGAAAGTCCTTGTCTCTTCAGCTTCTGTTCCGCAATTCCTTGGTGAACTTCCTGTGGCATAACATTTATGTTCTGTCATCTATGCTTGCTTGCTTCTGTTCTAGATATACTCCTTTTATATGTCAAGAGTGATCAACTTAAGACACCCCCTGCACTTACATGCTCTCATTAATGACATTACATCTACAAATGACATTACATCTACAAGTACCAAACCAACCCATTGCCATTGAGTTGATT